ATTTAAATCGTAACACTTGACTCTCTTCTTTACTTGATTTGTCATAGAAACACATATTTAGACATATTTGCCCCTCCCCCCATTTACAGTATAAACTGACCCATATAAATATTCTAACCTTATTCTTTTTGTATTTTTTTTAACATTATGACCTCAGTTTACAGATTTTTGCACACGACGGTGCTGTATTTACACTGTACAAAGACAATTTAGCAAAATGTATACAATCTATCATTTTGTAAGCAGTGTTTCAATCATCGCGCGAAGCTTTTTCATTCGTTTCAGTCTGTGACGGCCCTGAAGGTTCATGCTTTTAGTTGGCATTTTAATGTCAATGTTTTCACTTGTGCTGTTACTTTGTAAGTTGGAAGAACCGTACAAAACGTTAGAGGAAAAAAAATACTTCAGACTTATTTGTTCTTTTTTTTTTCTCCAGCAGAGAGGGGAGAAGTGTTTAACTAGCTTATTACAGGCACCACAGGTCAGGGCAATGGCAGTGAATAAAGTACAACAGAAGCTCTACAGTATGTCTCGTTTCTGTCTTCCAGTAAATCTCCTCCCATGTGTGCGTGCTTTGTTATATTTAATCACAACAACAAAGCGATGCATGAATATTGCTTTATCTGAATGGTTGCTGGGTGGCCGTACTGTCAGAGATACTATTCTGCAACTGGATGCCTACGAGCTGAATGAGTGCCCTTGAGCTAAAAACGGACTTGTCTCGTTAAATGTCAGTTATCCTGATGAAAACTTCAGTCAAATGGTCCCCATCTGTTTGTCAAGAAGGGCTGAGGATATATAGTCGACGTATCAACTGTACTGCTAAGCTAACGGTGAAATGTCTTTCTTTTGTTTGCGCTTGTCTCTGCGAACAGAGGGAGCTGCTGTGTGGGAATGCAAAAGAACAAAAACACCCAACAAAACACAAACTGAGAAATTGAAGTAAAGTCTGAAATGTGTCTATAAGCTGTCAAACGATCATCTCATGCTTCAGCTAACGTACTGACTGAACCAGAAGATTAAAATCAAAGGAATGTACACGGCGTCCCCTCCAGCAGCTGTACAAGCACTTGAGCATTGGAGGGAATTATGGAGCGCCGCTGCCGCTGTTACGTCCTGTATTCTGCTTTTTAAGCGTGTTCCCATTTTCATTTCTGGACTTTACACAAGTCTCTCCACTTCTGTTTTTCCACCTGGCTGCTTATCTTCTGAAGTTAGGTGGTCTTCACTCCATCAGCGTTCAGTTTGGTTCAGCTTAGCTCCGTTTGGTTCGGTGCAGGCAGGAAACGGGACTTCTTTTATGTACAACAACCAGTCTGGATGCAATCGCATTTGTAATAGTGCCAGATTGTTGAAGGGGTGTGTGTATGTGTGAGGAGATTCCACTGACACTGATCCACACGACTGCTGCCCACCTGGTCTGCCTGCATACTAGGCAGAAATACAGTACAGGTCTATGATGCATTCCTCTGCAGACAGCCAGTGTTAGGAAATGATGGCCGGACACCACCGCACCACTGTTAGGTTGTCTGCGCTCACCGAGCGCTTCTTGGCTAGTTTCCTCAAGTCTTTGTACTTGTCATCACACAGCCGTGAGATGGCCTGCAAGTCAAACAAAAGAGCAAGTGAGATGGAGCCGGGGGTGCCTTCCTTTGTTTTAGTTGGAGTGACTACAGAACATCTTTGCCTGTGTGTGTGT